ATGATATTTAAAATGCTGAAAGAAGCACTTAAAAAAGTTAAGTCATGTACCTGCTCTCAGTTGTTTTACAGTGTTTCATACAGAGCGTTATATCAAGTTACAAAGTAAGAACAAAGTCCAAAATTGATGCAAGATACAAAACTGGAAGAAGTTACATTTCTTAATAACTTCAAAAATTGTTTCCCAACTTATAAGGGATAATAGGCTGCAGTCATTCTATTACAGATACTGAATGCTCAACAGCACTTTGAAGAATCATTATTTCAATTCTTATTCATATGGGTGGAGTCTTTTTTCTATGTTGGAAGTAGAAAGACTGATGTTGATCCCTCTGGGTTCATATTAGTTCTTGGCAAGTGTGATGTGACTCACTGCAGCACCGAAAAGTTTCGTAGGAAAAGCCTGTAAACATTATATTAGACATTCATTGCACATAATAAGCTAATGCAGAGTTAACATATAGGCTGAGCACAACATTTCCAATTCTGCAAAGTGCTAAGCAGCATGCAGGAAAGGGCTAAAAGACTTCTACTTTTCTGCTAAAAGTCTTAGACGTATCTGAAAATTGCACAGAACATACTACACTTTTTGTTCCCCTTCCACTGAGTAGCACCCTACTTCGCAAATAATCCCACTGAGAACAATGGAACTGTTCAAGGAGTAGGGTTTTGTTTGGCGTTAATAAGCGTGACAGAATCTGATTTGTAGGAACGACGAGTAAGAAGAAAAAGAAAGACAAGTTGTGGTTTAAATAGAGAGAGAGATTCACCCTAAAGTGATTTCATTTTTTACCTTATGCAACCAGAGCAAAGGAGTGTTTCAAATTTTACTGATTTACTAGAGACATTTGTACTCTAAAAATGAAACAGATAGTTCTGAATATTCATTAAATCTGCTTTTCATGTAACATTTATTTTTACCTTACTTAACATAGTGTTGGGTGGGTGGAAACTTACTGTCAAGGACAGATGAAGTGTTCTGAACTGGCTCCAGACCTAACAATGCACTTATCATAAAACAATAAAAAGATTGATGAAAAACAGCACAATACAACCGCTACTTAGAGAGAAGAATAGATTGAAGGAATAATGTCACAAATTCAAATCCAACAATGAAAGGAGGTATCTAAGTTTCAGAGATACAGTCTCTGCCACCTCACTCCACATCAGCCCTTACCAGTAGTTAGGGGATCTACAGAATCATTGCCAAACAATATTTAACAATAAAAAGGATGCTTGAGGAAGACTTAATCATCATTTCAGATCTTTCTGAAATGAAGAGCATGCTTGATACATCCTCACTAAAACCAAGATTTTTGCCACCCTGACATCTGGGCAAAAGAGAGAAAACATGAGGTACTCAAGGAAAAAGCAGGGAAACTAAAATGAAGAATATATGAGAAAGAAAATCAAAAGTAACAATTAGCTCTAACATGGAGACCCAAGTTGATGGAACATCATAACCATAAATCAGTGGAATAAGTAGGGGGTGGCAGACAGGGCAACCATCCCAGGTGCTGATGTGGGAGGAGTGGCAGGGGGCAAAAATAAGTGTCTGCTGCTGGTAATTGCTATTGTAGCAGCAACTGGAAGTCACTGCTGTCCCCATGCTATGGTTGCTCAGCTGCATTCCTACACTGTTGCCATAAACCATAAACAAGAGCATAAGGCTCATTGGAGTATCAACAGATAAAATCCCTCCTCCTTTTCACTGAAGTACATCCAATGTCAGCCACCTTAGATGTTAAGAAACGCCTGTAAAAATGTGGAATACGAAGGGTAGCTACATCTTTTTTAAAGGTATCAACTTGTCTCAGGGTTCATATTTTTAAAGTAAAAAAAGCCTTTATGGTTCCAGGGAAAATCTCCAAAGAATGACCGAAGTGCCAGTAACACAGTGTAAACAGCCTAAAACAGTTCCTGTTTGTGTCAAGGTAATATTAATTCAAGTGGCTAACAATGATCATTTAAAGTTAAAATTGTGAATTATTTCACTAAGGGTTATAGCTCAGAAGAAAGGAGAGGGATAATCACATGGTGAATACCTACTGAGAGTGAGTTTTCATTTTGGTGCTTGCATTATACAGTGCATCAGAAAATATCGTCTCTTAATTTTTCCCTAACTGAAATAGACCCAAGCTGAAGTCTCACATAAGAGTATGAAGTTCCCTCCAACGTGAAGCTAAGCCAAGGAAGTGAGACTGATCTTTTACTAACAATTTGAATATTTTAGAATCATAGAATAGAAGGAGTGGAAGGGATCTGCAAGATCATCATGGGCAGGAAGTTATTGGGCTCAAACAAGCTCAACAAGGTACTTATCCAGCCTCATCTTAATCACATCTAAGGATGGTGACTACACTACCTCTGCTGGGTGTGTTTCTGGTAACCCTTACAGAAAAAAAGCGTTTTTATGTCCAGCCTAAATTTTCCCTCAATTAGCTTGTGCCCATCGGTCCTCACCCTCCTTTGAGGTTCCTTCTTAAAGAGTTGCTCCCCTAGATTTTGATGTTTCACCCCTAACGTACTTGTAAGCAACTCTAAAGTCACCCCTCAGTCTTCTCTTACTCAGACTGAACAGGCCCAGTTCCCAGAGTCTCTTCTCATACAGCCTATCCTCCAGGCCCTATTCATATGGGTGGCCCTCCTCTGTACCTTCTCGAGCCTATCCACATCCTTCTTGAAGTGTGGTGCCCAGAACTGGACACAGTACTTCAGCTGTGGTTTCACCAATGCCAAATAGTGTGGGAGGAGTACCTCTCTGGATCTACTGGCAACACATCGGCTGATGCACGTCAGCGTTCTGTTTGCCCTGCTAGCAACTTCATCGCACTGTTGACTTCTGTTCATCTTCCAGTTGATTGTGACCCCCAGGTCCCCTACAGATGCTGTGTCAGCCACCACCCATCATGTAGTTATGGTGAAGATTCTTCCTACCCAGGTGAAGAACTCTCTACTTCTCCCTGTTATACTTCATCTGATTCAGTTCTGCCCAAAAAACAGTCTGTCAAAGTCATCCTGGATCTTTACCCTATCCTCTGATGTGCCCACATTTCCCTGCAGCTTAGTATCATCTGCGAGCTTAGTCACTGAGCTTTTCACCCCCTCATCCAAGTCATTAATAAGTATGTTGAATAGCACAGATCCAAGCACAGATCCCTGAGGGACACCACTGGAGACGGCCCTCCAGGAGGAGGCCATCCCATCGATTACAACTCTCTGGGATTGGCCTCTAAGCCACTTCTCCATCCACCACACTGTAGACTGGTCCAGTCCAGTAGCCTCCAACTTAGTTGAGAGGATCTCACGGGAAATGGAATCAAAGGCTTTACTGACGTCTAAGTAAATGATATCAACCTCATGACCCTTGTCCAGCTGGTTAGTTACCTGGTCATATAGAGACACCAGGTTTGTCAGGCATGATCTACCCTTGACAAAGCCGTGTTGGTTACTTCTTAATACCCCACCAGTTGCTAGCTTGTAATTGATGGCCTCCTTAACAAATTTTTCAAATGTTTTTCCCCAGGACTGAAGTCATACTGACCGGTCTATACTTTGCAGGGTCATCCTTCTTCCCTTTCTTGAAGATAGACACCACGTTGGCCCTCTTCCAGTCATCCAGGACAACTCCCAAGTTTCACAACTCTTCAAACAGCTTTACCAATGGCCCTGCTATAAGCTCAGCTATAAGCTATAAACTCTGCCAGTTCCTTCAGGGCTTCTACTTTTCTCATAAGTAAAAGTATATTAAGGTCTCCTAAACTTTCATGGATCTATTCCTTCCAGTATTGTCTTGTTGCAAAACCAGAGACCTTGTATATCTTATGTGAATTACTAGAGGTACTGTGAATCACTTCTTCGTGACTTCAAAACTGAATTATATTTCTGTAACTGGGCTGCATTTTAGGTCTATTCAGAAAATAGCAAAATGGAGGCTTAAACAGAATGCCCTGCTGCTAGCCTATTACAGTACAACCTCATTATAATGAACTCCTATGGAACCACTGTAAGAAAATCTGGTTCTGTGGTAATATTTCTGGTTTAAATGCATTTATGTTGTAATAATGTTGCATGCCTCAGTTTTCCTGACTAGCTTGGGGGAATAGCAGGGAGAGTTTAGAGAGATTGGAGCCATGGCTGCCGTTCCAAGGGACAGAAGACGTATTCAGTGACAAAGATGGGAAGAGTCATGTTGACAATTCAACAAGGTGAGCTAAGTAAATATATTTTACAGATGACATGCAGGAGGCATCAAGAGAAGCATAAAACAATGGATAGAGCAGATTGAAAAGCTTAGAATCCCCAAGAGACTGTGGGAGAAAAGCCGGGCTAACTTTGGGGTATTTAGAGGCTGTGTAGGCTGTATTGGGGACAGAGGTGTTGCTTAACCCTTTGGAGGGGAGAAAGGATTTTGCTTTTCATGCTACAGTTGCCCGATAAATGCCTCTGTTGAAGAGAAGCCATCTGCTTGACTGCTTGGGAAAGGAGTTCACCCACAAGTCCTCTTTGAAGAGGTAAAGTTCTTGTCTCAGGAGCTGTACTGAGGTTCAGTCATGGCTCTAAGGGATAGCCATGGGTAACCAGGGAAGGTCAGGGACCAAATGGCTGAGTCTTGAGGTCACATGAATTCAGAAGCTCATCCCACTCTGGAAGCCACACCTGGCCGGGCTGGAGGAGCTACTTAGAGTAAGACTAGACAAAGCTGGGGGTCCCAAGCAAACAGTTCCCTAAGGGAATTTATGACAACCAAGAGAGAAGGGTTGTTTTGTGGGGGGGGTTTTAAAGAGGATATGCGAGCAGCAAGGATTGTTGTGGGTGATATCTTTTATTGGACCAGCTGCATGACTGATATAGATTTAGACAAGCTGCTGTAAATTACAACTTTTATACCCATTAAAGAAAAGTGTAATTACTGTAAAGTTAAGAAACTGTAATATTTTGTATCTGAAATTTTGACAAATGTGTTGTTTATACCAAAAAAAAGGTCAGTATTGTTCTTACCTTCCAGAGGTCAGGTGATCCTTCAATGAGTTTGGCTTTCGTTTTACAGTATTTTAAAGCTAAGTGCAAACATTCAGTGCCGTAATCCAGGTCATAGTCATTGCACTGTAGTAATTAAAAATAAGAAAAAAAAATAGCTTTTATACTCTTGAAACATAACTGCAACATCACTTTGTATGTGAAAGAAATTTTTTTATCCTGATTTAACCACACTTTAGGGAGGTGTGTGTGTGTGTGTGTATATATATATATATATATATATATAAAAATAAACACATCATATATTTCTTCTCAAACATGCATGCGCACACAACTCTTCAGTAACAAAGTTCCATGTTAGAGCAACAACCTAGATGTTGAGGACTGGACTGAAGTATACCCATTTCTCAAGTGGCTAGAAGGAACGCTTCACAGTTCAAGTAATGAGGATTCTAGCCAATAAGCTGGATGCAGTAACCTCTGAACTGCAGTACAAAACCACTGGTCTTATCAGTTGAGCACATCTAAATGTTGAGGGCTTGTACAAGAATACTAGGACTGTAAAGCTAACACAGTGTCTCCTTAGCCAAAGTACCCTCAGAGACCCAAAGTAGAGGCTATGGGTTCTTCAAGGAGGTGCTTCTGATTTTTTGAACCTCAGGCTGCCCTGGTCCTGGTATAAACCGAGTGGCCTCTAGTCTGCTCCATGATTCAAGGACCATTTATTAGCTGAGAAAGGATCCACATTCTTCTTTTCCAAACCAAGAGGAGGTGGGGGAAAGGATGCCAGTGGAGAGAGCTTCACTTGGGAAATTCTCAAGTGTCTCCCTGCAGACAAATAACATCCTGAGGAGAACAAATTAATGACTGAATTAATTAAATTCCTTCTGTTCCCTCTCTTCCACTCAGGTTAGAAAAGGAAAAAGAAAAACAGCTCAATACAACAAAAATTATTTTAAAGAATTAAGCTGGTCAAATATATAAGCAGAAATTGCAATCCAATTCACTTTGTCTTGTTCTCAAATAGCTAAACTGTCAAGACCGTTTCCTTTGCTTCTGCTCAGATTTTGTAATGTCTCAATGAAATAAGTATTATTTCAGAAAAATGCATCCAAACACTTATTAATAAATGGAAACTTCTCATGAAATCGTAACTGTATTTTTTACAGTATTTAAAATAATATTTTTCCCAGTCCATGTCAGAGGCTGCAACCAACAACAAAAGATTCTTTAACATACCAAATATAAGGGAAAGAATGAATAATTTTAGTAACATATTTCCCAGAGTAGGTTTTAACAGCTTTGACTAAGTACTTAGGAGCATGAAATTAGGAGAATTAAATAAGTTATAATACATGGTGAAGAGGGAGGCCATGCTTCAGGAACCTTATGGCATTAACAGTAGCAGTATAAAGGTGTCACAATGTTATTACAGAATTTACATGTTCAAGAACTAAATAATGCGCACAACAAATGTACTGGAGTGGGGAAATAGGCTCCTCAATATGGCAATTTAAGTTTCAAATATACAACGATTTAGAGGCAAAACGTTAAAAAAAAAAAAATCACCAGTAAGACCTGTGATATTCAAGTGGGTCTACATGCCAGAAGTTTATTATTAGACATTTTCTATTAGAAGATTCTTTAGGTATACTAGTTATTTCCTAGTAATATGCTGAAACGCTATACAATCACAAATCAGAAAGATTCCACTGCCTTAGAATGAATGAACAAGATAAGTCTTAGGAATTTGTATCTTTGAAATCACTAGCATATAATTAAAATTGTTTTTATTTTTAAATGCATGTATACCAAATGATACAGGGGCAAGATGGAACAATTCTAGCTTTTTAGCAAAATATTAATTATATATCATTACTAGGGGAAATGTTGCATAAAGAGGATAAACCATCGTTAGGGTATGACTGACTTCAAGAAATGAAATGAGATGAAATCTGACAAAGCACAGAAATAACTAAAAATGTATTTCACTAACATTTGTACTCTTGTGACATTTACCACTATTAACTATCTCTTAATCGTTTAAACCTAAATGCGCTAGTTTTATGGGACAGTCTATGGAAATGATGTCAGCTAAGAAAAGAAGTGAAAAGATAGGACAATCTCAACTCAAAGTCAGTTAGATTCTTATTAACAGACCTGAATATAAGTGAAACGTTAATACTGTTTTTAATGTCCTTTTTTTTTTTTTTTTTAGAAGCTTTGCTGGTTCTCAGAGAAATTCATAATATGAGATTCAACCTTACCTGCAGAATGTCTGATATAAAAAAGCAGAACATTTATAGGTAAAATTCCCAACAACTCCTGCATCCCAAACACCATCAGCTTAACTCTAAAAGGCCTGAGCCTTGGAACTACTTTAGTCTTCAGACAAATCATCATATAGTTCCTTTTTTTATTCTTTCCCTCTCCCCTCACCTTCTCATGAGCTGGTCAAATGGTGCAGTTTCCTGTAACTGTCACAGACACCAGGCTCAATGATACTGGGAGAGTTTAAGTTCTGGAGCAGATATATGAGACAGTTTCCAGCTGTGCATCTGCTATCTCCAGAACAAAAGGACAGCAGATGGCCTAAGGATTTCTTCAATAATAAAAAGGAAAATAAGTTATTTAAAGATATGTTTGAGCAGCTGGATATTCAAAATACTAAAATGTCTGTATTTGCAGTTACTGGAGGACTTGAAGATGACCCATGCTTCTTTTAAGACCTAGATGCTTGCATTTTATTATATTCTAATCAAACTCCACTCAAGATGAGCAAAAAGCCTCAGCAACAATGAATGGTCGTAAATTCACTGAAATGTATGTACTCTGTATTGTATGCTGAGGCTTACCCATAGTTTTGTGGTATTTCACTCCCAGCAGATTTACTCTGGAGTTTATTGCAAAATATCAAAGCCCTGCCCAAAAGTAACACAAGGTTAGTTTTCAAACATTATTTCATAGAACCATAGAAAATTAGGGATGGAAAGGACCCTCAGGAGGTCAGCTAGCCCAAGCCCCTGCTCAAAGCAGAACCATCCTCAACTATATCATCCTACCCAAGGCTTTATCTAGCCAGGTCTTAAAAACCTTTAAGGATGGAGATTCCATGACCTTTCACCATCAGGTAGTTGAAGGTTGCTATTAAATCCCCCTCAGTCTTACTTCTCTTCTTCAGACAAGAGTCCAGCTCTTTCAGACTCTCCTTATAAGTCACGTGCCCCAGCCCCTTAACCATTTTTATTGCCCTCCACTGGACCCTTTCCAATTTGGCCACATTCTTTCTGTATTGCAGGGAGGGGCAAAACTGGACACAGTATTCGAGATGTTGCCTCAACAGTGCTGAATAGAGGGGAATAATCATTTCCCTCGATCTGCTGGCAATGTTCCTACTAATACAGCCCAGTATACAATTAGCCTTATGTACAACAAGGGAACATTGTTGGCTTGTATTCAGCTTGTTGTCCATTATAAAGGTCCTTTTCTACAGAGCTGTTGCTTAGCCAATAGATCCCCGGTCTCTACCAGTGTATGGGACTGTCCCATCCTAAGGACTCTGTTCTTGTCCTTATTGAGCCTCATGGATGCATCCAAATGAGTGCGCACATATGGTTTGCAGCACCTCAAAGCTGTTGAGGCGCTGCAAACCACATGCAGCTGATGTGAACCCGTTCACTGTGCCACAAAAATTTGACACTGGGCAATCCCAGTGTCAAAAAAGAAAAGTGGTGTGGTACATGCAGCAGCAGCAGCAGGTGTCGCCAGCAACAGAACCTGGCTGGCCAGAGCCATGCTCTGGCTGCTGGCCAGGCTCTGAATGGCTGGATCAGTGCCACTGCTGCCTCAGGAGGCATCAGGATCCCAGGTAAGGTTGCTGGGGTCAGCACAGGTGCTGGCCCCAGCCTCCCCTACCCCACCCTCAGACAAAAGACAGTGATACAAACATGTGCTGGTGCTATTTTTGCTGTGGGAAGAGCATGCCCTGCACATGCACACGTCTGGACATGCCCTATGAGATTTCTTTTGATCCGATCCTCCAATTTGTCTAGATCTCTCTGGATCCTAGCCCTACCCTCCAGCATATCCACTACTCCCCCAGCTTCATGTCATCCACAAACTTGCTGAGGATGCACTCCATTCCATCTTCTATGTCACTGATGAAGATATTGCACAAAACTGGTCCCAGGAGCAATCCCTAGGGCATTCCACTTGATACCAGCTGCCAACTAGACATTGAGCCATTGACTACTACCCTCTGAAGTGATCCAGCCAGTTTTTTATCTACCTCACAGTCCATTCATCCAACTTATACTTCCTTAGCTTGCTTGCAAGAATATTGATGGAAACTGTACCAAAATGTCACTAAAGTCAAGGTATATCACATCCACTGCTCTCCCCACATCCACAGAGCCAGTCAGCTCATCACTGAAGGCAATCAGGTTGGTCAGGCATGACTTGTAACAGGAGGCCTCCTCGGGACTGATCTCAGTGTGGCCCATCCACCCGTTTCTGGGCTAACCGCCCGCCTTCTTGCCCGCCACGCCTTGTTGTTAATTAGTTCTTTGATGTAATTAAGCGGGAGGCTGCCCATTTCCTGCCCCAATGCCAGAGGGCACTATCTGCAGCTCCATTCCTCCCCTACACCGCAGCCCAAGCCTCACTGATGGCATCTAGATCACAAATCACCAGCCCCCACACTGGGCCCCAGAATCCTCCTGATTGAACCCCGCCCCTGGATTCCTCTCCTCAGGCGGTCTCATCCGCCTTCATACTAGGCAGCATAGTTCCCTGCACCGCTTCCCCTTCCCCAGGACCTTTGACTCACTAGCCCTGGCCCACCTCCAGGCCAGTCGGTTCCTTGCAGTGGGCCCCCGGCCCTTCGACCCTTCTGGTCCTGGCCCCAGCACGGACCAGTCAGGGGAAGTCCGGAAAGGCCTGAGTCTATGGCCTTTCTCTCTCTCCAGGGATCCACCCTCCAGGCCCTCCAAACAAGGGGTAACCCACCTGGTTGTGGGTGCTAGGGGTTAAGGCACCCTGACCCGCCTTTCACCGGGGTGGTAACTGGCCTGGCATTTCCTGGGGGCTCCCACACCCCTGGGAGCCCCACCAGGCCACCCACTTCC